AAGTTGATGCTACAGACGCTTTTAAACGCACACCTCTCCATTATGCTACTATTAAGGGTACTGGTGTCTATTTATTTTCGCTTAGAAAATTTGTTTGATTTTTTTCATTGGTCGGTGTTCTTTTTCAGGTCACAAGGATATCATTGATATGCTCATCACCAACGGAGCCAATGTTAATTGTGAAGATCACAATAATCAGACACCTCTTCATATAGCTGCTGACTATGGTAATTTCGTTAACGGTCAAAAAAGCCACTATTTGTGGTCACCGTTAATCTGTTAATATTGTTAATCTGTGTTACATTTTAGGTCACAAGGATATTGTTGAAAAGCTCATCAGCAATGGAGCTAAAGTTGATCCCAGTGACAGCCGTATGCGGACACCTCTTCATTCAGCTGCTTTGAATGGTAATGTTAAATATTTATTTTTAATAAATAAGAAATCGGTTTGATCATTTTCATTAATCGGTGTAACTTTTCAGGACACAAGGTTGTCGCTGAAAAGCTTATCAGCAACGGAGCCAAAGTTGATATTACAGACGTTTTTAATCACACAGCTCTTCACTTAGCAGCCAAGAATGGTACCTATTTTCAATAAATGAGAATTTGGTTTGATCTTTTTCAATGTCTGGTGTTATTTTTTAGGTCACAGGGATGTCGTTGAAAAGCTTATCACGAAAGGAGCCAAGGTTGATCCTATAAACTCTCTTAAGCGGACACCTCTTCATATGGCTGCTGCAAATGGTAATTTTGAATATTTTCACTTAATAAGAAATTGGTTTAATCTTTCTCATTGGTCGATATTATTCTCCAGGCAACTTACAGATCGTTCAAATCCTTGTCGCCAATGGAGCCAGTCTTACTATTACAGATTATCGAAATCAGACACCTTATCAGATTGCTTTATCTAGCATACTTACTCCCCGTATGTGTAAGTTGACCCACTTTGTAAGTTGACCCACCCCGCGGATTTTGTATTTTGACCTACAAATCGTAAATTTGGCTAGTCTCAATCGATTTAGAAAAACTAAAATGATTAGTGCGGGTCAACCTACACATAATTCCCCTAATAGTAATGTTGAACATTTTTGTTTAGAAAAGAATGTGATTCAAACTATATTATTTTTCAGATAAAAAGGAGGTCGCTGACTATCTTAAGGAGGTTGCAGAAAAAGACGCCATTGACACAAGTGAAATCAATTGAAAAATCATATGTTTTCCTTTGAGTTCCGTATTCGATTGTCATGTAGAATATTGATTTCAATATATTTTTGTCAAACTTCAACCATATCAACATTGCTGCTTTGTACGACTATGTCGGTTATGATGTGAAAAGTTGATAAATCATACACGAATACTAAGCAAAAAGCTGTAAACTTTTGAATACACTCATAATTTCAAGGAAAACCTTAAGTGTTTAATAAATAAATAAAAAGAATTGCATTCGTAATCCCGAACTTGTCGTATTGCGGTCCGTTCTTTTGCTTTTTTCCTTGTTTTTCAATTTGCTTGAATTAAAAGCAATTTTTAGTGAAAATCGGTCATTTTTGTCGGAATTTCGAAAATTTTGCATGGAAGGTAGCCGTAAATCAATTCCGATTGGCTTCAAATTTTCTGAGTCTTCATTTTTTTGTGAAAAAATAAGATTCTGGAAGTTTCATGTTGATCGCATTTGCACAAGTTTGGTTTTTGGTCGTCAATCTTTTCCAAATGAACTTATTTCATTTCCATCGTCGCTGTTTGACTGTCACTCAAACGTCGTAAACAACACACATACACAATGAAAGTCATTTCGTCATGCGTCGATGAAACTTTCACCACTTCTCTGTGTGGTGGAGTGTGCAGACGGCAAACAAAGAGCATCATTCCTATTGTAGCGAAGAATCGTGCTTTTTGACACATGTACTAAATTGAATGTTTTCAATGTCGCCATCTGTTGTTGGTGAT